GGGACTCGATCCAGGGACTCCAGGATCATGACCTGAGCCGAAGGCAGTCGCTTAACCAACTGAGCCACCCAGGCGCCCTAAACAACCACTTTGTAACATAACTTTTGCAGATATGAATTTTTAAGAGGATTTTTAAAATTTTTAAGTTGTATGAATTTTTACTTTTTAAATCTATTTTTGAATAAGTAATATCTTTACATTGCTCAAAGAGAATACAAAAAGGTATTCAAGATTAGTCTTGCCTGAATTTCTGTCCACCAAATGCCCAGTCCTCCCACCTCTGAATCCCAGAGGTAATTTTAGGATTTCTTAATGCAGATGGAAATACAACAAATACAAATATATATGTATTTTAAAGGAGGCATTTCTTGAAACAAAGGACATACACTGTGAAACTCAAAACCCTCATTTGGTCTCATTTTAAATGATTCTGTAAGATGCCTGGAAATACTTGTGCATCTCTACCATTGGAATAACTTTATGAGTTTTGTGGACTGAGTACCTGTAAATAGTAGTAATTGTCTGACCAATAAAGGGATTTTTTTTCCTTTTTACCTTTGAGTAATATCTTTGATTTCTGCTTACGTGGTAACATATACACATTGTGGAATATTTGGGAAGTAGAAGAACCCACAAAGAAGAGTTAATTCATTTATGATTCCATTTTGGCGTGCACTTTCCCATGATTTCACTCTGCATTTGTCCCTGAGCTTCCCCACCACCTTTAAATCAGCCTAACCACCATGTCCTCCCTGTCTTGCGTCCAGTAGACTCTGTCATTACCAATATCGGTACCTCCACCCACATCTCAGCTGCAGACATGCCTCTCTGACAGCTGCCTCCTACCAGTCCATCTCACTTTCTCTAGGACCCTGCCCCCAACAGTCTTCAGTGCCCCTGGGGCCTCTGGTTAGTCCATTGACCCTATCTGCCATCTTTCCAATGTCAGCACCACCCCTCACTTCTTCCCTCCCTCTTTATCCAGCTGGAGTCCCATGTGTCATCATTGAACTCACTTTCTCATGCCCACCCTCTAAACCCTTGCCTTTCCCACAGTCCTCATGGGGCAGGATCCAAGCTCTGGTTAATCACATATGCCTACTTACCCCCATGTTTGTACTGGAATTCCTGGTTGAGGCTGGTGTAAAAATATACAGTGTTCCAGGCCAGTCTCATTTAAAACCAATGACCATAAACTTCAAACAGGCTTTGGGTAATTCTCAGCAATCCTGTTAACATTTCCCTGGTTATGTCACCCTCTGCTTTCTCAGTCTATTTTACACTTTCTTTTGAATTCTCTTTTGCATTTTCAGACCTCTATCATCCTCCACTCTACTCACTTTAATTTGATGGTCTCAGTGGCTTCACTAAGGGAAGTAATCCGAAAAGAGTTCTACCTTCCACCACCGAGTCCTCTGATCCACCTGCACCCTAACCCTGTTTACTGCTTTCTCGCCTGTCAACAGTGGGTGCACCGTCCAGTCCATGCTTCTCGCAAGAGTCCATGTTTCCATCTTGTGCAGGACTGTCCCATCCTGCTCACTCGAGGACACCACTCATGTAGCCCTTCCTCCTCTCTCCTGTTCTATTAACTGTCCCTCTCACCCAGATCATCCCCCTCAGCACACAAAACATGCTGTAACTTCTCTTCCTTCAAAGCTAAAACTAAAACAGAACCAAAACCCCTGAATGCAGATCTTCTGTCACGTGCTCAGAGTCATACCCCGAGAGGAGGATTCGTGTGCGAGCGATCTGTTCAGGAATTGCTCTCTATCCAAAAGGAGTAAGAAAACTGGGCTTCCATCCTCCCTCAGCCCTCCATCCTCTCCTAAGAGCTGCCCCAGGTGGGAGACCTCAAACTTCCAGGCGCTTCCCGTGGTCTTGATATAGTTTTGGAATGTAGGTGAGGTTTGGTGGGGTGAGGTCCAGAGCCGACAGCCAAGAAAATTCTTGAGACGTCTTTGGTGCAAAATGGTGGTTTTACTAAAGCGCGGGGACAGGACCTGTGGGCAGAGAGAGCCGCTGCACCGGGGTCATGAGGGGTGACTGATTATATACCGAGGAGTTGGGGGACATAAGGAGAAGGGAGGTGTTCAAAATAACTTTTGTATGCTGAAGAGGTCCTACCAGATATTCGAGGCCTTGCCGTTGTCAAGTTAAGGTGGTTTTCCCCTCTAGTAAAGCATTAACATTAAGACAGTTGGGAGTTTCCTGGAGGAATGTTATACTCTACCTATCACAAGTCCTTGTCCATAGGCTGCGGGTTATAAGGAAATTTTATTTTATTTACATTCCTTTCTACCTTTGTTCCCACATCACTGTGGATGGGTGGGTGATGTTAGGGCTCCAGGAAATTGAGTCTATGGATCTCTGGAAGTTAGGCTGTGGATAAGAATGCTTTTCTCTTGTAAATTGCTAAGACATTTTGTAAACTGAGGGAGACTCCTGTCTTGCAGGACTGTGATCTTGGTCAGTTAACCATTGGTTTTTCCCTTCCCTTAGCTTTAGGGCAGCCAGGAGTGCCTGAGGAATGTCGTACCTGTCCCACCTGGGAGTCGGGGTGCGGGGCAGTGTGGGGTGTCAGCTTGTGCCGGTGTGGGGTGTCCTCCGCTTGCCTTGTGCTTCCTCATCAGTCTGATGGGGTACTCTCCTGGCACAAAGGTGAGACTCTTTAGAAGCAAAGCCCCTGCAATCTGGCAAGCTGGCCAGACTGGCTGGCAGGTGGGGCTGGGGTGGGGGCAGGCAGAGGGGGATTAAAATGGATCAGAAGAGATCTGCCTGAAGCATGACTGCACCCCCTACATCCCTCTTGACCCCATATCCTATCTTATCCTCCTGCCCTCAACCTCATCCAACATTTGCAGGGCCTGGGCAACAGTATAATCTGAGGCCCATTACCTATATGTCGAAATAGGAATATGAACAAACTGTTTTTTTTTTATTATTATGTTATGTTAGTCACCATACAGTACTTCATTAGATTTTGATGTAGTGTTCCATGATTCATTATTTGCGTATAACACCCAGTGCTCCATGCAATACGTGCCCTCCTTGATACCCATCACCGGGCTCATCCAACCCCCAACCCCCCTCCCTTCTGAAACCCTCAGTTTGTTTCCCGGGGTCCATAGTCTTTCATGGTTCGTCTCCCCCTCCGATTCCCCCCCTTCATTTTGCCCTCCCTTCCCCTATGGTCCTCCATGCTATTCCTTATGTTCCACAGATAAGTAAAACCATATGATAATTGTCTTTCTCTGCTTGACTTATTTCACTTAGCATAATCCCCTCCAGTTCTATCCATGTCAGTGCAAATGGTGGGTATTCATCCTTTCTGATGGCTGAGTGATATTCCATTGTACATATGGACCACATCTTCTTTATCCATTCGCCAACAAACTTGTACTCCTACTCTTGCTTTGGAATGACTTTAAAGGCCAGGTTAGAATTTATCATTGTTATGGTGTGCAGAGTATCTGCCTCTGGTCCACAGCCTGTGCCTTTCTCTTCCCACCCCTAGGTCCTTCTAGATTACCTGATGCCCTAATAGATGCAAAAGAACATGAAAAATGTCACACAGAGTCGGATCAGTGTACCCTTCAGCCCAGATTTTTGTGAAAGAATTTTTTATGATCTCAAACTAAAAGATTAGAGCACTTTCTTGGATAGGCCCACCTTTTTCTTAACTAATTCCCTATGGATCTGTCATTTGTGAATTTATCTAAGCAAAAACGCCCTTTTTCCTTTTAACAATTTAAAAACATCAAAAACAATGTTGAAAAACTAAAGAATGAGCCACAAACTGGGACATGGTATGAACCACATATATAACTGACAAGGGATATGTAAATACATATAAATGTACATAAGTATGTATATTCTACAATTCTATAAAATAATCAGTCTAGTTAGATGGGCGAAAAATAGGAACCATTGGTTAAAAGAAAAGGAATACAAATGAGCAATAAACAAATGGGAGCATAATCCGCTAAATAATCGGAGAACTGCAAAACTGAAGCCACAATGAGGTACCATTTTGCACCCATCATATTGACAACATTTAAAAACCTGTCAGTAGCAAGTACAGGTGAGGATATAGATCAAAGGGGAGTCAATTATGGTGCTCAGAGAAATGTAAATCAACACAATCACTTTAGAGAACAACTTGGCAATATCTATAAAGGTTGAATATGTGCACATATCCATATTCACATTCATTGTGAAAATACTTCCTGAGAGGCAGGGGGCAAGCCTAGGTGAGTAGTATGAACCAGCAGTTCCATGTCTGGGTCTCTGCCCCAAAAGAAACTCTTGCACCTGCGAGGGGAGACACGGAGGAGAATTTTCAGAGCATCATTGCTTCTAAGAGAGAAGAGAGAGGGGAAAAACAAAAGGAAGCAGCTTAAGCAACCAAAATATCCATCGATAGGAGGTTAGATGAATTGGGGTATAGTCACATAGAGGAATACCACCAAACAGTGAAACAAAATGAATTGGGATTATTAGGTTGAACCATTGAAGTTGCCATTCGCTAGGTCAGACACGAATACTGGCAGTTTTGTATGGGTCGGTCATACACATGCCCTGCAGCATGATGCTTTCCGGAACTGAGTAGTGGTGAATGGGAACATTGTGAATGTACTAAATGCCACTGAACTATTCACTTTAAATTGTTCAAATGGTAAATGAAATTAAAAGTCTATCAAAAAAAGAGCATATGCAATATGATATAATTTTTACAGAGTTAAAAACCCACATGACAGTCCTATAGGTTGCTTGTACATTCATATCCATGAATACAATAATATGCATGGGGGTGATAAATAAATTTTGGCTGTTACCTGGGGTGGGTCTGGGATTTGGGGAAAGAGGGGGGAATGATGCAGGTGCTTCAGCTACACTGGTCATGTTTATTTCTTCTGCTGGGTGCTGGATCTGGGGGTCTTTCTTCTAAAATCATTTTGTGTTGCCCCCCCCCCACCCCAACCCGGGGTCAGGCTCCCTGCTCAGCAGGGAGTCTGCTTCTCCCTCTCCCTCTGCCCCTCCCTTCCGCTCATGCTCTCTCTCTCTCAAATAAATAAATAAATAATCTTTAAAAAAAATAAAAATTAAAAATAAAATCTTTTTGTGTGGTCGATGCTGGTTAATGTAATTTGGCCACCAGACAGGGCGATCTCTCAGCTTGCTGCACTGTGAATATTTGGCCAGCTCAGGTGCACAGGGTGGTTTTGCCCTCTTGGTTGGGGCAGACTGAGTTTCTTCCACTCCGTACCTGTCTGTATTTTTAGTGGTAGTTATTTCTGTGGTGGCGATGTAACTCGTGTTGCCAAGACAAGCGTGAGGGGCGTGGGCTCACTTCTTAGAACCATCATTGCTGCATGTTTAGTCTGGAGAGGAAGCAAGCTGCAGATGAGAAACCCCCTTCTGATGCCTCTGAGTGCCCCAAACCTGTTCTCATAAAATCAGGTTCAAATGCAGACTCAACCCTCTTCATCTGTGACCCCCACTCCCACCCCAGTTGCTGCTGACATTTTTCCACCCCCAGAATGCACAATCAGAAGCTCAGGGCTACATCTGATCATCCTACATTTCTGCTTATTCTACCACTTGAAAGCATCCTTGTCCCTCTCCTCACGTCTGCCTGGATCTCCAGCTCTGGCAACCCTTCAAGGAGACAGTGAGCCACTTTCGGCGAGGTGCTTCTTGCTGTTGCCAACTTAGCAACTTCAGCCCTTGGGTCTAGTCGCTTGCCAATGCTGAAAATGATGACTCTGTGAGCATAACAGAGAAGTGTTACTGTGCCCATTTTATGGATTAGAAAATCAAGGCTCAGGGAAGCTAAATAAGAAACAAGGTCACACGACTAGAAATGGGGAAGAACCAAACTTGAACTTCATTTGGCTGACCTCCACATCCAGGGGTCTGTCTTTCCTCTTTGTACCACACCGTTCTTGTGAAAATATTTCCTGAGAGGCGGGGGCAAGCATATACGAGTAGTTTGTGCCCTGTCTCGGGACTTGGAGACAGGAGCCTGTCCTCCCTGCTTGAGTTATCACCCTGAAATGTCCTGGAGAAGCCAATTTTATCAACAGTTTCAGGCCGGTTAAAAAAAAAAAAAATGGGGGGCTTGGCCCAGGTTAAAGATTGTGATCAAATATTAAAATAGTTCTATCACTTACAAGAAAGATGATTCATTCTGCCAGTAATCGAAAGCACAGCTGTGTGCAGAAGTTAGGCAGGCCCAGCCTCCTCAGGTTCCTGGCACTGTTCCTGTAGGTCTGGGATCCCTCCATGTGACCAGCGCACTCAGCCAGGTGCCCCCTTTCTTGCTCTGTGTTCAGTAGGAGGTTATAACTTCCGGGAAGGACAAGGAAGCGAATTCGGTGGCTGTCAGAGAACACATATCAGGGCCTGAACAGATCTCATCAACTTCCTTGCCTCGGCTGGCCTTTGCTCGGATGACTCGACCCGGCACAGGCCGGGCGGTCGCTGCTGTCAGTCTTTTCCAGAGGCTTGCTCCTCCGGCCACCCGCCAGCCGCGGGACCTGCCATCAGCCTTGTGCCGAGCCCCGGAGCGAGACATGTACCTGGCCCCTTGCCGGCGCCACCTTTCCGTTTTGGAGCCGTGGACTTTAGAATTCCGAACTTGTCACCCTTCTTCCCTCTTACTTCTCACACTTTTGTTTCATGTGTCTGTGTTTCTATCTCATTTCTTTTAAGAATTCCTGTTTTCTGGCACCTGGGTGGCTCAGTCGGTGAAGCGTCTGCCTTCAGCTCAGGTCATGATCCCAGAGTCCTGGGGTCAAGCCCCACACTGGGCTTCCTGCTCAATCTGCTTCTCCTTCTCTGCTCCCCTGCTTGTGCCCCGCCCCCTCTATCAAATAAATAAATAAATAAAATTTTTAAAAAATTCCTATTTTCTTTATTTGGGAATATAATACAAGCATCTGGTAAAACATTTAAACAGTGCCAAAGGATACACAGGGAAAAGTAGGTTTCACACGGATCCCCGTCCCCCAAATCCCCAGTTCCTTCCACAGAGGAAATTATTGTTGTTGTTGTTTTTAAATTTTTAAGTAATCTTTACACCCAACACAGGGCCTCCAACCCAGAACCCTGAGATCAAGAGGCGCATGCTCTTCCGACAGAGCCAGCCAGGTGCCCCCAGAAGTAATTATTGTTTCCAATATGTTGAATATCCTTCAGAGATATTTTTTCTTATACAAACACATATGTGTCTGTGTCTTCCTCTCGTTTTTTTCCCTTCCCAAATGCTAGCAGACTGTTCTGCGCTTGGGTGTTTAAATTTAAGAGATCCCAGAGAGCCAATTCTATATTAGAATCTCTAGGTCTCCCTGATCCTTTTCACGGTGGCCTGTGTTCCATCACACGCATGTATCATGGTGGTCTAACGAGACTCCTGCTGACAGGCACTCAGGGATTGCAGACTTCATGAGGGTAGGAACCAGGTCTTACCCATCCTTTGTTTCCTATGCTCCAACCTAAAACAGTGCTCTGCCAGAATCATTTAGTAATTAATACACAAACACAAACCACAAACACGTTCATTCATGCAAATTGGGGAACAGGTCTTATTTTTTCTTAGCCCTTAGTTCTGCATCTGCTGTTTGCTGCTCTGGAAATGAGCTAGTTTTCACTCAGTTTTCTCATCAGCCACACCATCAACCAACAGGTACTTGGCTCTGCCAGGTATCAGGCAGTTAGAGAACGGATGGATGCCAAATATGTCCCTGCCCTCTGGGAAATTATAATCCGGTTGGGGGGAGAAGAAAGGTGCTTTTTTGGCAAAAGTGACATAACAACATGATCAAGAAAGGATTTAAAAAATGGTATTAGGACAATTGATTCTCCACCATCAAGAAAAAAATAAAGTTAGATGCCTACCTCAGACCATACACAAAACTCCAAAACACACAAAACTCCTAAAATATAAATGTTAAAACAAAACTATAAAGGCATTAAGAGAAATTTAGGCAATAAAAGACCAGAGAAGGCTTCCCTAAGCACCATGCAGAAGCTAGAAGTCACAAAGGAAAAGACAGATACACTTGACTACATAAATCTTCTGTGTAATCAAAGCCACAAAACTGCATTAAAAGAGAGGCAATGACATTTGGGAGGACGAAAAAGATGCCCATTATATCTTGATAACTAAAAAGAAAGCAAACTATAAGCCATATATATATTGATATAGATACTCAAGAGTCCAGTGTGAGCCGGAAACCACACCTGTAATTTGAAATGGAAAATTTAATAGGAAGCATTATTAACCAGTAAAAGAAAGTTAACTACTGAAAGTAAAATCCCTTTAGGGCTGAAAGAGAGTACCCTTGGAAGGAAGACATTTGGAAGACTCCTCCCCAGCCCACCAAGGTTGGGAGTCAGAACCTGTTGAAGATGTGGCCGTGCCCACTGACGGTAGAGAAGTTCACGGGCGTGTCACGGGTCAGACGTCGGCAGCCGCGTGCAAATGGAGGCTGGTGAGCAGGCTTCCTGCTGGCACGCTGACAAAATTCTCTGGAGTGCGAGCCCCGCTAGGGCTTCCGCAAGTGGCTGGCAGCGGTGCCTTAGAAGCAGGAAGAAAATCGCGCTGAACTTGGAGGAGAGGCCCTTCCTCGGCTCTGCCTTGCGCTCTCCAGCGTCCTCTAGGGACAAAACCGAAAATTGTACCGGCGGGCGAAGGAGCAATTGTCATTGGGTGTAGCTACAGGGTCGCCAAGGAGGCGGTAGGAGAGTGGATTTGGAGCTGAGAGGCGGTGCTGAGTGGATTGATTCTCATAGTAGACTGAGCCTGCTTTTGCAAACAAAAGAGCGTATATGATGTATGTGCATATTCACACTTCTTTGGTATTTACTCTGTACACCAGGAGCTGTTCTAACTCTTGCATGTATTAACTCATTTGATTTTCACAATAACCCTCAAATTCCTCAAAGGAATTAATATTAACATTAATATTAATGTCAGGACACGGAAGCACCAAGCTGTGAAGTGACTTGCCCAAGGTCACGCAACTGGTACGCGGTGGAGCAAGAATCGTGAAGGCTTCATAAGTATAGATGGAAAGAATCAAAGCAACAGTGTGATCTCTCAAGTCCATATCGAAGAGGTCACGGAAGAGGCTTTTATTTTATTTTTTTTAAATCAGTGCTTCAATACATAACTACAATGATAAACGACTGCTTTTTATTTTGTTTTTGTATATGTGTGGGGGGGTGCTTTTTGGGGGAGCGGGTTATTTTCCAAAGAAACAAAAATAATTGATAAATGACACCTGTCTGTGCGGGGCGGTAAGAACCAAGTGTCCCGAGAGCACGAGAGAACTCTCGGTGGGAGGAGGGCCTTCCTGGAGGGAGGGGCAAGGGCCTGAGCAAAGGTTTAGAAGAGGGTGAGTCATCCAGTGCCAGCCGCAAGGTGTCGGGTCTGATCCGTGGCTGGTTATCCACCCTGCGCTGTCTGCCCTTCTCATCCCGACAGCTTCAGGGAAAAAGGTGGCTCGTGGCTGCCTGAGGGAAGCCGGAGGGCAAAGGAACGAGCAGCTGCGCTCTCTGTGAGGTAACACATGCAAACACCACAGATACTGCTTTACTTATCCCCCCGCAACACGCAGCAACCTCAGAGAAGTCATCAGTATTCCGACTTCCCACAGGACAAGACCGAGGCTGAGTGAAGCAGAAAAGGCATCCGGATCCTCAGCAAAAGGCAGAGTCCGGGTTGGAGTCCAGATCCGGTCTGATTCCCAAGTCCAGGCTCAGTCCACCACACCCAGCTGCTTTCCAGATGGTGAAACACCAGGCTCCTTTCCCTAACAGCCCGCTTCAGGAATGCTGACCCTGATGGCCGGTCAGCAACTTTAGATCCTTCTGCAGAGACAGAGGGCTTCAGGTCAAAGTGTCAGTGGAGAGCCCAGCCGAAGGGCTGGTATTGGCTTTCAACTCATCTCTCCTTCTAGGAGTGGCCCCCCCCCCCGGGCTACACCCACTTTCAGACTGTGGGGCTGGGCCTGGGCAGCCGAAACACAGTTGGCACTTGAACCTTGGGACCACTGAGATGAGCCTGGAATTTCCAAGATGGGCTGAAAAGAAGTGGTGGGCACTGCTGCCGGAGGGGCTGACTGAGAAAGGTGCTAGTTGGGACCTACCCACTGTCTGTTTCATTAGGAGTCCACCATTGTTACCCACAGGCTGGGTATGCACGGAGGGGGCGCTATTTAGCCACGTTCTTGACACCGGGGCCAATGAGCTCATGCAATGTTCCCTTCTAGCCTGGGGCCCACTGGTGATACTGGGCAGTATGTAGTCATTATGCATTAAACAACAGCGGATCACATAGTGAAAAGTCATTCTCTTTATAATTCTCTTACATCAGGGGAAAAAAATCCACTGTCAGTGCTAATCTATCTTTAATATATTTCAAAATATGCTAACTTCCCTTTTTGACAAAGGAGAGAAGGGTCAATAGTATCTAGCTAGAAACTTAGTTATAGCAACATTTTCATTTTATTTACTCTTATAGTTCCTCTTCTGTAGCAAATGTAATGCTTTTCCATTTATGGTAGTGATATAAAACTTCCTTTTTAACAACATTTATGTAAATTTTTATTTAGGGAAAGAAAGTGAGTCAGTTAAAAATTACATGAATAAGAATAAATAAACAGGGACTATGACAAAAATTGTCAAAGTCATTTAGAAATGACTGAAGGGAGCAACTTGGTGCCATTCATGATGAAGGCCAGCCTGCTGTGACAGACAGCATCTAAATTGCCCAAGTGGCGATTCAGCTACAGAAGCCCAGACTCTTGAGGGAAACTTCTAGAATAAGCCTTGTGTAGAGATCAGTGATTTTAGGATAATATTAAGGAGTTCTTCCATATCTGAGTCTCTTGCTGCCCATGTGCTTTCTCAATCTGGGAAAATTGAGAGGTGTGGAATGGACCAGACTATGAACAAGTGGCAGGAAGTTGGTGGTTTTTCTAGTTGGACACAAGGAGTGGGAATTAGCAGATATCCTAGCTGTTCGGGAAGAGAAGGACACAGCAGAATCTGTTCACCAGTGGGAGATCCCACAGTCCCCACCTTCCAGTCCTTCTCCCTGTGGTGTCTACTTTGGACACTTAAACTTGTTCTTCTGGTATTTAATTCCACATTTCTATGTAACATGCTTATCCTTCTAGCTTTTGATTAATCAGTTTTGTCATTTGGGTCAAGATGGTTAATTATGTGATGCAAGTTGCCAATAGCTCTAGTGCTCTTCCTCTGTCTTGTCAATTACTGAGAGATGCACAGATACCTCCTACTACAATCATGGATTGTCTATTTCTCATTTTAGTTCTGATCACTTTGTTCTAGGTCTGCTTGGTTTGATATTAGTATAATGATACCAGGTTTCCATCCTTATATTTTCAGGATTTCACGTGTCTTTACACTTGAAATGGGTCTGTTGTAAACAGTTGTAGGGGAGGAAAATTTTTCCCTTTTTTCCTTGTAGGTTCTTTGACTGGCTTAGTAATTAAATTGACACAGGACAGACTAACAGAAGAAAAACAGGGGCACCTGGGTGGCTCAGTCGTTAAGCGTCTGCCTTCGGCTCAGGTCATGGTCCCAGGGTCCTGGGATCGCGCCCCACATCAGCTCCCTGCTC